AAAAAAAAAAAAAAATCATTAATAATAATATATATCTTAAGTTTATATTAATTTCTATAATTAATATATATATATATAAAGTTATTTTTTTTTAAGTTTTTTCGTTCTACAATATTAAAAGTGGTTTTAAGAAAATTAATAATTTTCTTTATTAAGTTAAGTAATGGTAAAATAAATTTATTATGTTTAGAATTCTTTCTTCTTAAATGTTCATGTTTTAATTTCCTATCTTTAAAAATTTTTTCAAATTCATTATTACATTCTTTCTCTTTTTCATAATTCATTTTTCATTATGTATTGTAAAGAAAAAAAAAAAAAAAATTTTTTTTTTAGACAATATAATATTCTGTATAAAAAATATAATGCATAAATTTTCACCAAAAATATAATTTTTTACCAAATATAAAAAAGATTTTTTAAAAAGATTTAATGTACTATATAAAATATCAATTGGAAAATTTTAAAATAAATAAAATGCATATAAAATTAATTTATATCATATATATATATATATGTATAAAAGCAAACAAAAATCTTCATATAAAAATAAAGAAAAAGTTGTACTTGATAAATTTTTTTTAAAAATCTAGCCAATATAATTAAGCATAAACAATTTATGTGCAATTAAAATGAAAATATATTAATTCAAAATCTTTTTATAAATTTGAAGTTATTCATTTATTTTGTTTTTAAGATTTTCATTTTTAATTTAAAAAGAATTTTTATGATTAATTTTCCTTTTATAAAAATATATTTATTTAAAAATAATTTTAAAAATGGAAAAAAATCATAACATCGTAAAAAAAAAAAAAAAAATAAAATAAAATAATAAATCATTAATTATAACATTAACAATAAAAATGATAGTTTATTCTAAAATTACAAACTCTTGTATATAAATAAAAATATTTATTTAATTCTAGTTATTGTTTTTATTTTATTTTTTTTTTTCAATTTTTTACGAAGCTTAAATATGGTAATAGTTTTAATGTGAGTAAGGAACTAAAGTCTTATATGTTAAAAGTGATGAGTGAATATAAAAATTATTTTGAAAAGATATTAATTAAAAATAGAAATTTAGAAGATAATATAAATTTTGTTAAAGATATAATAATAGATGAAGAGTAAAATTTATATTTATTTTTAACTATTTATTTAAGAGAATATTTATTTTTTAATGTTTTTATTTTAATTAGAAATAGTTATAATGAAGACATCTTTTTAAAAATACAAAAAAAATTTCATCTTTACGATATTTTCAATTTGTCATTTTTATTTCCAACCAATATTTTAAATAAAAATGGAAAAACATTGGTTCAAGTATTATAATTTTTAATTCTTAAAAAAAGAATAGTAGATTAAAAATATAGGAGCACTATATACTTGTTTAATTAAATTGTTGTTATGAAAAGTTAAATTATTTCCAAATATTTTGTTATTATTTTTTTTTTTAATTTAGTTAATATCAGAAGATACCAATCAAAATGATTTAGAAGTGATATATGCTATTCTAAAGAATATAGAACAAAATGAATTAGATAAATTAAATTTTTTCTATATAGAAAATATAATATTTGAATTATTAGGTTATTCATTATATTATTTATAAAAAATATAAAAAAAAAAAAAGAAAAAAAACAATAAAAAAATTACAAATATTTTTATTAACAAATTTTTAATAGATGAAATAATTAGACAAATAACTGTTGAATGTCCTAAACGCGGTTTTGCCTTAATTTTGTTAAAATAATAAAATAAATATATGAATAGAATAGATATAATTAAAAATATATAAATTTATAAATATAATAATATTAAAAGAAAGAAAAATATATAGACAAAAATAAAGAAAAAAAAATTATTGAAATTGAAATTAAATAAGAGTTAATATAATTTTTATTAGAATTACGAATACATTGCATTTAAAAAGAATCTACATGTATGATATGCTCATAATAAACATATTTTTTTCTTCTTTATATATCTAAAAGAATCAACAATGAGTTACAAAAAAATATAAATTATTATAAAAATTTAATAAAAATTATTGAGCATAATAATGATGTGAATAATGGAAAATTTAAAGAAATGCAAAGTTATTATAGTTCATTAGTAACTGTTTTTATAAAATTTTTTTTTTTTCCTAATATTATATTATATTTTATTTACGTAGATTATATAAAAATATTTAATATATATTCAGCTGGAGCATTTATCTGTAGAAGAAAAAACACTAAAAGAAAAATTAATAGATTTACAGAATGAATTTGAAATTTTAAAAAAGTAAAAAAAAAAAAAAAAAAAAAAATAGAAAATTTGGCTATTTTTAAATTATTAAAAATAGCTGTATATTTTTATTTTTATTATAATATTTATATTGAATTTTTTTTTGAAATTTTCCTAATACAGTGAAAATAAAAAGAAATTACAGGAAAATAAAAATAAAAAAGAAATACAGGTTTTAGATTTTTTAAAAAGTATACTTTTTTTTTTGTTGGAAAAAATATATATATATATATATTTAAATTTATATTTTTTATAAGTATGATTTATTAAAGCATAACGAATCATTGTTAGAAAAAATTAAAGAAATATATGATAAAAATGGAGAAATTTAAATGTATATATGAAAAAGGCTTAAGTAAAAGAAAAAAAATGTATAAGTTAAACAAAAAAAAAAAAAAAAAAAAAAAAAAAA